GACCAAAATGCTGGCTTGCATCCATAGATGCTTCTCAAGCAAATCCCGGGACGTCATTCTCCCCCTGTACTCGGCCTTAGTGAGGCCGCAGCTGGAGTACTGTGTCCAGTTTTGGGCTCCACAATTCAAAAAGGATGTGGAGAAGCTTGAGAGAGTCCAGAGAAGAGCCATGCGCATGATCAGAGGTCAGGGAAGCAGACCCTACGATGACAGGCTGAGAGCCCTGGGGCTCTTTAGCCTGAAAAAGCGCAGGCTCAGGGGTGATCTGGTGGCCACCTACAAGTTTATCAGGGGTGACCACCAGCATCTGGGGGAACGTTTGTTCACCAGAGCGCCCCAAGGGATGATGAGGTCGAATGGTCACAAACTACTTCAAGATCGTTTCGAAGAACTTCTTTACTGTCTGAGCCCCCAAGGTCTGGAACAGCCTGCCACCGGAGGTGGTTCAAGCGCCTTCATTGAACACCTTCAAGATGAAACTGGATGCTTATCTTGCTGGGATCCTATGACCCCAGCTGACTTCCTGCCCTTTGGGCGGGGGGCTGGACTCGATGATCTTCCGAGGTCCCTTCCAGCCCTGATGTCTATGAAATCTATGAGATAGAAACCAAGAGTTTTGGGTTCTACCCCTTCACCCTACCACTCGAAGGCAATTAACTCTACCCCACTCCCACATTTGGAGTCTTGGGCCATGTGTAGATGAAATGAGAGCCATGTGCGCACAATACTTTAAAGGAGGCTAAATGCTTTTGCACTGACCACTTTAATGGTGTCAGTGTTTGCACGCCTCAGCAGCATATTGCGCATTACTTCCAACCTCTGTAGGAAATTTGGCGGCATTATGCGCCTTATATGACTTGGGGTGCAGCAAACGAAAACTCCTTCTAAGAGAACAAACTCCTTCTAGGAGTTTTAGTTTGCTGCCCCTACAGCTGTTGAGTGAAGCACCAGGCTCCGTGCAGTGCAGGGGCTCTTCAGGAAGCCCTGCAGGCAGCCTGGCAGCAGCCTGGGAAGGCAGGGTCTGCCCAAGAAAAGCAGGGAGCCTGATCTTTCCCCTCTCCCCCAACTGAGCCTGCCTGCCTGCCTGAGCTGCACGGGGCCCAGAGAGGTAGGTATGTCAGTGGGGTGTGTGCATGACACAGGGCTTTAATCAGCCCTAAATTGAAGCAGTGTTTTTTAAAACCCACCACTTCAATTTCCTCTACACATGCCCTTGGCTCCAGTTCTAAACCATCCAATCTTCACTTCTCACCTTCAGTGCTCCAGAAGACCCAGGAGTCCTGATTCCCAGTGTTACACTCTATGCATGTCCTGGGTCTCTGTTCCTGTGCTCCTTAGTAGTCAGTGAGATGTCAATGGGTGTTTGCTTTCCCTTCCAGTATCCCCCCAGGACCATTGCTGTAGGAATACCAGACTCTGCACATGCAAAGGACAGTCCTTGGACATATGGCTCAACTCATCAAGCACCCGCTTCGACCTTTGCAAGTGCAATGCCTCAATATGCTGTATGGCCTACACCTTCTCAAAGAAGATTCCACTGAACTACACCAATGACTTCCAAGGACAGGCAATTATGAAGCAAGGGACATTCCATGCTCCAGAAGTCAGCAAAGGGGACGACGGTTCCTACAGGTTCTTCAATATAGATCACAACACCTGTTTGCTGAAGGTTGACATTGAACTGTCAAGTAAGTTCTTTCTGAGGTCTTCTCCCTGTCACTGAACAATTGTCAGGATGGGCTGAATTTCCACCTGCAGTTGAATATGAAAAACCTACCTCTCACACAACAAACACAGAGCTCTTAACCTAAAATGAAAAGATGCAGGGGACTGGTCATCTCACGCTGCAGCTCACTCCAGCTGGGCATCCCCAACCAAAGGGCAGCCAACACCACACAGACGAGCTGGAGAAAATTTTCCTCACAGTGTGGGCTGCTGCCCCAGGCATTTCTACATCTCCCCAGCCTCCAGTCTGAAACAAGGGGAACAAAATCCGCCCTTTGTTTAACAATGTCAGCTCTGCTGCGCAGGAAAAACCTTGGGGTGAGGGGGAGATGAAGATGGGTCCCCATGTCCAGGCACTGACTCTGAAGCATAAGGATGACAATGTAGATTTGTGACAAGAGTTTTGTTACTCTTGGCTACTCAAAGTCATGAAGCTGAGGTCTAGAGGCTCATCTATGTCTTTCCCTGGAGTGGAAGGGGCCAGTGCAGTGCGTGGAGCCTATGAGAAGCTCCAGCCCTCTCCCTAATGCTGGTTTCATGTGCTTAATTCTTCCACAAGGCTAGACAGTCAGCAGTGACGGGGTGGGCAGAGCCCAAGATGGAGGCAAAGCCTGAAAAATTCTCACCTTTCTTCCCTTGTACCCATGGCTGACAATGCTTCATCTCCTGTACCAAGGTGGGCTCAATAAGGCTAGACATATGGTCACTCTATCACTCATGCAGCTGGCCCCAGGTCTCTGCAGTGGGGACCGCTCAGTGCAGGGTTCTCCATTACAGAGTTCATAGTTTGGACCTGGGAACTTGGAGGAATGTTCTTCCAGTGAAGCCTTGAAGTCCTCTGGGTGGAGATAGGCCTGGTTCTTCCCTGCAAGGCAACTCTCACCCTCTCTCTCCCTCCACAGGAGCTGCAGCCTGGCCTTTGTGCACTATGCTACTGCTGTTGCTGGGCTTGGTGACTTCAATTGTTCTCTGATGGGAGATGGAAGGGACCTTGTGCCACCTTGAATGGCAACTGAGTGGTGCAGGCAGGGCTGGGATGGCTCTGTAGCTTGTTTCCAACCTCATAGCCAACCTTTGAAAAGTGTTATCACCAGAAATGCTGAGTACATCTTCCTTTGACAGACATCTCCCCTGTGGATCTATCTGTGACAGTCTGAACTATTGTTTTGGAACATTTCTGCATTTAATATGTGTGTGCTGTGAGTGGAAGGGATTTACAACATCGTCTGCTTGAATTATGGTGAGTTTCTTGTATTATCTTATACCCTGGTGAAGAATCAGATACTGTTGCCCAGAGCTAGACCTGGGAGTGAAGGTGGGGCAGTGTGGGGAGTGCAAAGTCTTCCCCTGCTGCCCACAGTGGAGACGGTTAGGCACCTTGGGGGTGCTGCTGCAGATGGTGACTCAGTCACCAGGCACCTGCCAGGTAGAGACAGAAATACCCCACCCTTACTCCAACACAGCCTGGGCACCAGAGGGAGCAGCATAGCCCATGGATTACTTTATCTCTTTTCCTAGTGACATGGGGACGGATCTGATTCTCACTGCTCTTCACACTGGGTTCTGAATTCAACCATTTACAGTGGATTCGTACACACTGGGCTCTCTTTCTCTCTTTCTCCTTGCTAAGGCTGATCTTGGTGCTGCCCAGAGGCACAGCTGAGAATTGCACAAGTCCAGAGACAGTCCTGGGTTCACCCCAACCCCCTAAGCTGCCCCCTGTGTTATCATGAACACACTGGGCTTGATCCTGGATCAGCAAGGCTGGAAATCCATTGTCTCCCACGCAGTCCCAATGGTATGATCATGGGGTGCTGTGGAGGCATTTACTGAGGGCACTTGGTTGGGGGGATAGAGAGAGAAACATAAGGCCCTTGCTCTGGGCTGCCCTCACAACCAGGCATGGCAGTAACCAGGTTTCCACTGGCAGGGACTAGGCTGGGGCACACAGGGGCCCACAGACCCATGGAGGAGATGCAACCTGCTGAGTTGTGCTGCATCAGGTCCAGGCAGGTGCTGTCCTCAGCTGTCAATGTGTCTCTGCTCTTGGGGATCTTTCCCTGACACCTTGCAGGGGCAGGCTAGAAGATGGCTGTGGCCTGGCATTCAAAGCAGAATAGGAAGAGTGGGGGTCTGAGCACATGTCTGAGAAACAGCTCCCTGGGACAACCCAAAGTGTCAGACACTCAGAGTGGGGTTGACCCCTCTTGGTCCCATGGAACCTAGTAAGAAATTTGGTAAGAAACCTTGTGCCTTGTATTTGCTGTAGTGCCTTTCCTTCCATTTAGGTGCTGAATTAATCAGTTCTGTGCTGCTGAGGGTCTCTCGGTTGTCTCGTCAATCTCCTCCTCACTGCAGAACTCCACCTGCGCAGGGGTGAATTCAGCAAGATCTAGGGCTCTTGTACACATGACAGGTGTTTTAGTCTATGCCCCCTAAATGAAAACAGTTTGTTTTATTTTTTGCTGTCAGTATGTACAAGTGACGGCTCTTAAATCTTATAATTCTCAGTGCACTATTCACGGTAAATTAATTCAGGGGGCGCTGCATAACAATCCACCTCATTGATCTCTCCAGTACAAATTACAGCAGGGAGCACTGTCAAACTGCTAATTCCTGCTACAGACTGCTGGTGATGTCTAGTTCACAGGTCACTGATATATACAGCTGACTGAAACTGGTGGGATTTCATTAATTTAGTAAATTGACTTAACTGTCATTTCAGCAATGTCATTTTTTTTACACATATTTTTATACTGCTGCCATGAGGGGGAGGGACACCTCCCCACCCTCCCCTGCAGCTCAAGGGCTGCCCAGTCCACTGGCAGCTCATCCCCTGGCCATGGATGGCAGGCGGCCTGACCAGTACTGCATAGAGGGGAAGCATCACCTCCCCTGGACCTATTCATCATGCATCTATTAATGCATTATAAAGTGCAGTTAGCCTTGTTGATCACTTCGTCACATTGACAATTTATGTTCATCTTGGAGTCGACTATGACTCTAAGATCCACTTTCACTGCTGTGCTGCTGAGAAGGTCCTGCCCCAGCCTATAAGTGTGTTGGTGGTTCTTTTTGCACAGGTGCAGTACTTTGCACTTGTTTTTGTTGAACTGCATCCTATTTAGTTCTGCCCATTTTTCCAACCTGTCCAGATCCATCTGGATTCATTCTATACCCTCTGGTGTGTTAACTTTGCCCCATAATTTGGTAAAATCTGTGAACTTGGACAGGGTGCTCTCCACGCCCTCATCCAAGTCACTGATGAAGACATTGAATAGCACAGGTCCAAGGACCGAGCCTTGAGGGATTCCACTGCCCACATCTTTCCAGGTTGATGCTGACCTGTCCACCACCACTCTAGGTGAAACCCACCCAACCCGCCAATTTACCACCCACCTGACCGTGTAATCATCTATATCACAGCCTGTCAGTTTATTTACGAGAACAGAATGAGATACCAATTCAGATTTCAAGTAACCGTGAGGATCCTCAGTTGCCCACAGGGAGCCCCATGCCCACCCCTAGCCCATGGCTCTGGCCCAACTGGAGAAAAGGAGGCATACACTGCCGACTCCAGATGCCATCAGGGTGCCCACTTGGGCTGTGCTGCCCCTGGTGCACCAGGAAGTTCCTGATTAGCAGGGGCCATGTCATCCCTTAATTTGCCCCTGGTTAATACAAGGAGTTAATAACCACTTGGCCACATTATGTGGGCTGCCGAGAGCAGTTTCATTTGCTGTTAAAAGCAACAAGCAGACACCTGGTCCCAGGACTGTAGGTTCTAGCCTGCAGGTATCATAATATATTTTTTTCATTGTGTAGGCACCCCCTGTCAAAGCTGACCTGAAATTTTACCAGGGTGAGCACAATCTGACAGCACAGTCAGATCCATGGGGCCTACTGGCAGTAGACAGCCCCAGGAGCTGCCTTCTGCCGGATCCTGCAGCCAGCTGCCTCTCCTCACCGGCAATGTGGAGGGTGGGAGACATCTCACTCCTCACACACAGCTGCCCCAGCTCTGACAGTGCTCTTCACTCATGAACCACAGCCCCCCACCCACCCCACCCCACTCAGTCCCCCTCACTCTCAACTCAAAGCCCCCTGCTCCCCCAGCCCAGCCGGAGGGGCCACGAGCTGCTTCCTTGTTCTGACACGGCATCCACTTGCCCCCAGGCCCCACTGGACCATGCTTTAATCTACCTATAATCAAAGAAAAACTTATTTCAGCCCTCTCTGGCTCCCTCCCCTCCCCCCCAACCCCCAGCAGTGTCACTACAGCTTCCTCCTCCCTACTAGAGACAATGTACTTATGAGACAGACAGAAGTGTTGTGTTGCAATAAAATTTTTAGTTTTATTTATAGAAACACTCAGCAGTAACTGCTGCATGGTTTAGCACTGCTGATCCATCAGCCTACAGAGAATCATCTCCATCTGCAGCAGCCAGAATGTGTGCAGCCAGGCAATTCTGCACAATGGCCCCCTGACCAATGCTTGCATGCTGATTGTAGGGGGTGCAGCACTGCCTGCCCACATCTCTGCCCGTTGACTCCTGCAATTCTTCAGCCCAAGGCATGCTGAATACCTCCCCCTGATCTCACAAATATTGTGTAGCATGCAGGCTGCCACAATGAAAGCCATTATGTTTTCTGGCTCCACCTTGAGCCTGCAGTTCAATGATCTCCACCGTATTTTCAGACGGCCAAAGGTGCATTCAACAGTCATCCTGCAATTGCTGAGGTGGTAGTTGAATGCCATCGTTTGTGGGCAAGTAACGTGTCTTCCATATGGCTTCATGAGTCATGACCAGAGGGCATAATCCATGTCCACTATGGTAAGTGGGGGCATGGCAACACCCCAGATCACTGTATCAGGGACCCTGGGCGTATATTGTCCTTTTTACATTGTGCCAGGCAGCAACGAGTTTAGAAAAAAATGTGCATCATGTGCTCTGTCTGCCTAGCCTGTATAGATGTTAGTGATCAGCTACGGCCTGGAGGATCACTAAAGCAAATCCCTTCCTGCTGGTGAATGACTGATTCACTTGCAAAGGGGATAACAGCAGGATGTGTGTGCTGTCCAATGCACCCATGCAGTTAGGGAACCCCATGGCCTTGAAGCCTTCCACAACTTCCATGGGGTTATGGATGCAGATGAAGTTGTTTGCCATGATGACTTGCAGCAGCTGGCATAACTCACATACCACCACCCCAGCCATGTGGGGAACTACACCAAACTAGTTCCCAATAAAGCAGAGGCTGGTGGGGGTGGCCAGTTTCATGATGGCCTTGGCCACTCTCTTGTACGATGTGAGAAGGTGACATTTAACTGTGCCCTGGTGCTTAATTTTCAGAGACAGCACCAACACTATGTGCTGAAATGTGCCCTTGCTCATGAGGAAAATTTCGAGTCACTGTTGATCATTCCATGTTGATAGTACGATTTTCTCCAACCAGTTAGAGCTTCTCATGTGGGCCCAGACCCTGTGATCATTGCTCTGTAGGTTGATCCACAGAACCCTGTCAACCTCAGTATCCACGGCTGCTTCTCAGTTCTCCCACTCCACTGCACTGGCTATTGCCTGGTATAGCCAGGCGTGATTAGGACCTGCCCTGCGTTGCCAGCTTTACAGAAGGCTTATCATACCCTGCATTGTGGTCAGTAGCAGCACCTCTCCATTATTGAGTGCCTCCATTCTGTGGTTGGATGTCTCCAGGGCATCCAACAACATCTGGTTTTCCTTGCTGAATCCATCAAGATTAATCAAAGCCATTCAGCACACAACAAGGGGACTGTTTAACTCACCACACCGCTAAGGTGCACTAGAGGGGCTGGTTGAATAGATAGGGCTAATGAATAGGATCATTAGCATTATAATAGCCATGCTATTTACACTTCAATTCCTACACAGCTAAGAAAGCTATGGGCTGGGTGTCCATGCAGCAGAGCTGTTGGCCTGCAGAGAGAGAGGGAAGGGAGGGGAACAGGGCATGTCCTGCTCATTGTCCAGAAACTTGGGGTGTAGGATGACCCCAGGAAGCCATCATACACCCAAAGGTGCAGATAATAGTGCTTACTAGACCAATGAATAGTACCACCATGAAGTATTACCCCAGCAATTTCCCTCACCCTGGAGAGAATAAGCCAGGGAAGAAATGTGGGAGTGAGGTGCCAGCATTATTTTTGAATAATTCCCATTAGCACTGTCTCAGACGGCCGGAGCTGACTTGAGGAGGATTGCTGATTACTCGGCCGTCAGGCAGGCTGGTGGATGGAGAGGCGGGACACAGCGTATTGGTTGCAAAATAACTTTTACTTTAACTTTACTTACGCCGCTGGTGGCCGCGACGCAGGTGGTAAGGTTGCTTACGTAGTTACAGGTAACGAGTTGTTTGTGTAGTTACAGGTAACTGACAACAAAACGAGCCGGCGAGTTTGTAGACAGAAACGAGCATGCAGGATGAAGGATACGTCGGGAACAGACGGTGACAGGGAGATGTTGGAGGGGGATCAGTCCGCCAGCTTTTCTCTGCCACGTGGCAAAGTTCTCCGTACTCTACCACGCGCTCAGAGCTCTCCGACTTGGGCAGAAGCTGCATGAATTTTTATACATTTAGAGTAGCCAATAACAGACTGCCAGGTGGGAATAGCTAATGAGGCAGAACGTACCAAATTTGAAAGTAACTGCGGTTATTCAGGGTAGTTCTATTGTGACAGGGGCAACTCATTTGGTTATGACATGCCCCCTTGACCATGTCACAATAGACAAGGGAATTAGGTTACAAGTAATTTTTGTCTAGGAACTCGTCATCCTTACAAGGTTCAAGTGGTAAACGGGTTTATACATAAGCAGATAACTTTATAAATCGCCTTTTAACAAACTGTAAGATATAACAACCTATACATACGACAATGGCTATTGTAATCAATGGTAAACACAAAACAATGAGGGAAGTCAACAACTGAATTAATTAAGACGAAGCACCCCATCCTATTCGACCCCTCGGACTTTCTTCATTCCTTTCAAACACCCTTCTATTTCTTTCACCTCTCTTCCCAGATCATCCCTTTTCTTCTTCTTTTAATGTACAGGTTCCTATAGAACCTTGCCTTTTGTTCCTTTACTACTTGCCCCCTTCCGTCATCATCTCCCTCATCTCTTTCCTCACGTTCCGAACCTTCCTTGTAAAATATCCACTCTACTCCTCTCCTTCCTCTACCCATGGTGTTCGTGCCAGAAATATTCTGTGAAGTTACGGACTGAGTCGTTCCCTCTTTCCTTGAACCACGTGCTTGCATTGAAGGGGTAGACCAAGGGCGTAACAAAAAGGGGGAG